TTATGTACATTTATTTGTTTTACTTTGCTATAGGTTTTCCACATGACCTTGGGAAAGCTGGAAGGSGGTTAGTGCTGTCCTGGAAGGCAATGGGCTGCATTCTATCCTACCAGGAGAGGAGCATTGAGACTGAATTCCTCCTGTATCTCTTATCTCTTCACCTGCAGAGTGGGGCTAACAGTGCACTCCTACCTCCCCTGGGTGCAGCAGAGCTGACACCCCTGGTGTCACCAGAGGTGCCRGTATCTAATAAACGCAGCCGCTTCTCCTGCAAGCGCTCTGCTGTGGAGGAGAGGTACCCACCAGAGGGCAACAGCCCTCTTGCACACAAGAACGATGGATGCACGTGCTTCCTGATCCCAAACTTGCCAAAAGCAAGGSCAGCCTTTGCTTTGGCCTGTGATAGCACTGTGTAAATGCTTTTTTTTTCTTCTTCTTATTACTGTATTTTAATATTGGCCTCGGAACGAAACGGCAATGAGTTAGCGCTCCCATGGCAGCTACGCTCATCAAAAAGCTCCAGAACTTCATAGGGCTGCCCAAAAGCACYGTAGCAATTCTCACTGTGGGAGCAGATGCCCAAGGTTTTTCCCCATTGCTGTCTCTGCCCAGCTCTGCTTGCTGCGTTTGGACCCCTGGAGACAGCACCCTGTGAGCAAGGGCACCCGCATGGCTTGTGGTGCAACCTGGCATTGTCCCTATGGAGACCGGATTTGTGCCCCATGAGAACCCCTCTATGAGAAATTCAGCTGAAGCATTTAGAGCACTTACAGTGGGGTAGGGGGTGCAGTACATCTTTGCAGGTTTGAGGGTCCATGTAATGGAAAGAAGTATTGGAAATGTAAATACTTGCATGCAGCCTAAATAATTGATATGCAGGTTTTGGACCCATAAGAAACCTGCCTTTCAGCTGGCCAGATCTACTCATCTAAAGAAGTGGCCAGTAAACAGCCTTATGGAGAACAACCTGGAGAGGGGAGAACCCTAAAGGTTAAAAGAACATGAGTTTAAAGACAAATATCCAGGCAGTCCCACTCACCTTTACTGTACTTTGTGATTTGGGAAACCATGTGATCTTTTTAAAGCTGCTTTCCTGACGTACTGCAGTTTAGTTTCTGATGTTTGCCTGCCAGTGATTAGCCCGACATTGGAGATGACAGTGTGTGTCACAGTTTTTGTTCACTGTGAGGCAAGAGGGACAAACATCACTCAGATTTCTAATAAGTTTCTCCTTCCAGCATCCAAAAAACACATGGAAACGCTAGGATTTTATTTTGAAGTTGTGTTGGTAGGGGAAACGGCTTTCCCTAGGATACTTATGTGTAGGTTAACAATTACCTCAGATTTTATGTTCTCTTTCTTCTCTCCCATTTAATAAATAGAAGCTCTTGGATCGATTTGGAAGCTCTCTTGGATATTGTTAAAACAAAATGTGTTTACATGGTGTAACAACTCTGGACTGAGTAGCTGGTACTCGTTTTGTGAGCCTCTGGGTCTAGTATTTGACCCAAGCAACTCCACGGTGCTCTAGGGCATGGATGCTCAGTGAGAAAAGAACATCACTGTGCTAAGTAGGCTCCTAGTGTAACCACTGCAACACATGGAGCAAATTTGCTTGGAGTTAAGGGAAGAGGCAAGAGATGAAGGTAACAAAGTCAGCACAATTTAGTAAGATAGCAAAGTTGACAGCTTCTCGTTTACCTAATGAATGGAAAGGGAATACTACTTCCTTGAAACACCTCTGTTGTGGCTACACCTTCCTAGCTATTTCTGAGAGTGGCTGAGCACCACTTGAAGAGGACAGTGTTCTTCCTCAAGGCAATGACTTTTGTTGTCTTTTTCCTTCTTTTCTTCATCCCCATTGTCTGTCATCCTCCTCTTGCTTTATATTAACATGTAAGAATGGGACTCGGGAATCACTTGAAGGACAAGTTACTAGTTACTCTGCCTGCCCTAGTAACTAGTAACTAGTAACTAGTAACTATTGTTCACATGACAAGGACTAACGTGATCACATCAATTTGTAAGTTGTACTCATACTTCCAGACACTTCATGGTACAAGTCAGTGGGTTTTAGTCTTTTTTTGTATTATTGATTATCAAAGTCACACATTTCCCAGTGTGAATTTCATGGAGTGGGAGGGTTTTTTTTTTTTTCCATTAAAAAAAGTTTTATAGGAGAATAAATGTATTAGTCTTGTAAATTTAATTGTCAGAATAAATTAATCCCTGCCATTAGTAATGAATAAGGCAGCTGAAATTMCTCTAAACCTGTGACCTACACCAGCGTTCAGCTTCACGAAACTTTGTGGCAGCCATAGTGTAAAGAGTAGTTCTGAAAATCACAGGAGGGATGGAAGAAAATAATTTGTTTGGGCCTAGATAAGTTGTGGATAAATCAGTGGGGAACAAATACAATTATCTGTAACAGGGGAGGTGTTTTTTGGCTTATGAGGTTGTTGCTATCAAAAAACCACCATGTGGATGCCAGATGTCATTAAGGATCTCTRCTGTTATTTTGCATGGTTGAGGTCTGCAAAACATTTAAGAGAAGGTTCCTAGGCTTTTTGGCTGTGATATCCTGAACACAACCCAGCACAGCACCTGGCCATAAGGTGCAGCCTGCAATCTTTAGTTCTCTGGAGTGATAAATAATCAGGGAAATGATTTCTCTGGAAATGAATGCTGTCACTTAGTCAGCATTGTCATCTGTGTCATGCCCACTTGGTGTTTCTCTCRTACACATTAAGACCATTATCCTTTCCTGTTGGGCTCAGCTATCACAATGTCTATCTGGTTTCATCTATAGATTTTCTTTAATCAATTCGCTTTGAATGAGAGCACTACCTCCTTCTTAGTAGGTTTTTATAAACCACAGATTTTAGCTTTGCCAATAGGAGATTGCTTCCATCAAGTGTTGGTAGTACCAGCAAGGTTGTAGTTAYGTTCGTAAATGAGTAGATTTGTTCCTTTTTATTTTTCTGTTTAGTTAAAGAGACCAGCATTATTCAGATATAAGCAGTGAAATTACCTTATACTCTTCTGTTATTTTGATGTCTTCCCTAGCCTATCTCAAAATGTGGCTTTTTTTTTCCTGCTGTTTCCTGATCTCCACCTTTATTTAGCTCAATAGCTCAACCTTTCTAGAGGAGGAATGATATTCTTCCTGTTTCATAAAATCTTCACTGCTATAGCTACAACCTTTCTAGATCGTAGCAGACTTCCAGATGCTTTTGTCTCCTGTATTCTTCTGCTTGCAGAAGATCTCAAAAACATTTTTTTTCCTTCAATATCTGTTTGAGTTCCTTAACATCTTCTATGGTCTGAAAGGTACAGAAATATTATSTAGAAGAAAGTGCTAGAATGCAAATATTTATTGTCAGAGACATTGCTGCCATACTCAGAGATTTTGATGTGATATTGTGGACCAGGTGGAGCCTTGGGTAGAGATAAAGATATATCTTCATCTAAGACATGAGGAAGAAAATAAATAAATAAATAAATAATTTTAAAAAGTGGCAGAACCTGAGGCAGCTTGAATGATATTGTAGAGAGATATTATCTATTATCTTTGTGGTAAATTAAGTCTGTGTTAAAATTAATCTGTGGAGAAGCAAATTATTTTAGTATTTCCATGAATCTTGAATATGTGTATTTGAATTTGCTTTTCCCTCAATATTTTGGAAAGATTTGGAAAAACATGGAGGCTAAAAGTCCACAAAATTGTGTAATATTTCCATCAGTTACCAGCGGCACTGATGTGAAGTTGTCAGCGATGTTTTGCAGCTGACATCCACCTGTGRTTTCTGGAGTCGGATGTGTAAAACATAGCAGGAAGATGCATGRTTTTTTATTAACATGTTTATTGCTGTGTTTGATTGTGAGCCTTTAATTCTACTTTCCATTAAAGCCATTTCATGCCGTGGGTGACACCAAAGGTTTCCCCAATAGGAGGAACAGTTTCTGGGGGCACTTCTTGATGTTTCTGGATCAAAGACTGACATTCCCCAAATAAATACTAGTTTGTAGGGCCAGCTCCTTGGATCTCGAGAACCTCAGATTTGGGATATATTTTCAGTGGGAGTTTTGCTCTTCATGTTTGGCTCGAATGACTGCCCTTTCCTCCAAACGGCTACAGCCGTGCTTGGGAGAAAAAATATAATCTCTTTTTAAAAGGGCAATAGAGAGGTAAGAGTTGCTCGTGCTGCCGCTGAAGCCCCTCTGAGTTTTGCAKTAGAAGGAGGACGTTTACAAGGACCAAGAGGCATGGGGAAAAACTGACACTTAGGGAAAGAATAACTATTACATTTTGGAGCTTGCAAAGGAGCAAGTGTTAGATAAATGCATATGACAAACAGGCCCCGTTTGATCTCTCTAAGAAGATTTGACAAGTCAGACACACAGGAGCCATAAATTACCTGTAATGGCAAAATTACATCAGTTATAACCTTTTAAGCAGTTGTGCCTCATACAGCATCAATTCAGAGATAGCAATCGAAGGAGAACCAGTCTCTCTCTATACATTTCCCTGGCAATATACAGCTACAAGAGTAAGCCGTGTATGATTTTCATAAAACATGATAATGATCTAACGGTTCTAGGCTCCATAGCGTAAACCTGTATAGATAACTGGTTCAAACTCCAAATGATAAACCTGCTAGGCTAGGGAAAAAAAAATCTTTTTTTTTTTCTTTTAAAAAGAAATGAAGGTGTGATTGAGATGTCATGTTTGGGGCTATGGCGTGAGGAGGACTCCTCTAATCAGTCATCAAAGTGTTTTCAAAGATAGAAGCTGTGGAGCTGGAGGGGGTGAGGGTTGCCCAACACTGCAGCTTGCTGTGCTGTTTGCACCTGTGTCATCACCTGTGTCTTCTCCACACATTTTTTTCCATGGGCTTTGTGGGGCTGTTATAATGACCTTCATTAGAGGCTCGTTTCCCAGCTGGGGGGGGGCTTTAACCTACCTCACTTAATGCTTAGGGAGTAATGGAGTTGAGAGCACTCAGGAAAAGTTGTTTATGCTCTGCATGGCTCTTCTTTAACTTTAACAGCATCTCTTTGGGGTAAGAGGAGAGATTTCTGGGTCTGTTCTCCCTATTATGATCTTCCTGTGGATGTCTATGTGCTGTGCAAGCCCTGGGGGTTGTCCCTCTGGGAATGGAAGTGAGTTGGTGCTGACTGGGATGGGGGCAGAGGGGGTTTTGTGCCTGAGATAGGCACAGGGGGATGCTGGTGTCATTGCAGCTTGGTGGATCTCCTTTCAGTTGGTGGACTTCTTGGTTTGCTTATGGCTACTGCTTGCTTCTTCAGTCTCAAATGCTGGAATTCTTTCAAGGGACTTTATTTTTCCCCCTCTAGAAATTCCCCCAATGAGTAGAATTACGCTGCAGAARGCTGCCATTTTATTTTAAATATGTTTATGTGGCATGTTTATTCCATGTCGCTGCGGCCATGGGAATAGGGGTGTGAATGTGGGACTGGCCAYGGGATATAGTGCTGTACCTGCTGTGCAAGTTCATTTTGCAGAGTGGTATCCAGTCACCCTTTGAAGAGAGAAAACAAAACTTTGATTTTCTAACACATGAAGATGGGGGGAAATAAGGCTGGAATGAAAAGTCCACGTAGCTTCTAATGCTGAGCTGGACCTTTTTAACATGAGTTTAAATATCATCTGTGTTTCAGGCTGCTCTAGCTTTGTGGTCAGCTGAAGGATGAAGAGAAAGCCGCTTGGACATGGAAGGTAGGGTGGTATATTAGATCTGTGCAGCCCTGCACATGGAAACCTTGCTCACRTCTGCTCCTACTGTAGCTAGGTGCTGGTTGGGAGGTCAGGATAGGAGACTTACCTCACTTGACCTCAGAAAAGAAGTAACGTGTACAATGCACAGTGACTTCTCCCTGTCACTAGTGAGAGTTGTGAACAGGGACTGAGCACAGTAATCTGGTTCTCTTCTATGTGTGGGTGTAAACCCGGAGTGAGGCTAATGAAGTGAGTCACGTTCCCCACTCCTGGGGCTCTRGACCAGGAGCATCCAAGAAGCAGCYTCCTCACGCTATTGCTTATTCAAAGCATTAATAATATCTCYCAATGCCATGAGATGARTGCTTTAAAAACAAACAAWCAAAAAACCTGTATTCCAATGCAGAAAAAAAGCAAATGCACCAGTTGTAAGAGTAGCTGGCTAACAAAATGGTCATTAATGGTATATTATTTGTTGATATGCCCCCGGGGGGGATTATCAGGCACAGCTGAGAGGGGGTAGCTGCTCCCACGGCGCAGGTACGCGTATTGAGCAGTGAGGCAAGAGAAGAAATGTCATACTGCTGGCCTCACTGGTTCCCTTTCTTTTTCTGATACAACTGAAACCAAAAAGGGACAAATCTCAGGTCACTTCCTGTGGATGCATACTGCAAAATACAGGTAGTAAGACTTGAGCTTCTGGGGAAGTTCAAACATAGATTCTGATTTGAAGCCTGCAGCATAACACCTTTTTTAATATTTCATTTGGCTGTGGTAAAGCCTGAAAAAGATATGAGGAAATTTCTTCCATGTGCAATAAAATACATAAGGATATCTTAATTATAGGAAATGTCATATATCCGATCCATATGCCTCTCTCTTCTCACCTCCAAAAAAACTCCTGGGCCCTGTGGGCAGTTTCCATTACAGCTGAAAGCGCAGCAGAAGTCTCAAAGCTCTGACAAATTTCCTGAGAGCAGGTGCCTGGAGAAAGCAGCAAGTCCTCAAACGCAAGTGAGCATTGAGGGAAAGAGGGCAACTCGCYTGCTGCGTCTTCTTGCTGGCATCAGCCTGGCCAGTGTGTGCAGGTGTCCCGCCTGTCCTGTGAGCGTGCACAGAWATCCAGGCTACCCCCAGGACCTCCTGCCCATAGTGGCATCAAAAGAGATGGGAGGTAAAGGCAGATGGGTGACGTTCAGAAGCAGGCAGAAGTCTGCAGCCACAGAAAGCTTTGTTGCTTCTGCAGCTTTAATGAAATAACTTGTGTTTCCCCTAGTGACTCAGAAAATGTCTATTTAGGTTTTTTGCCTATTATTATTATTATATTTTTTAACAGTTACATTTTACTGCAGTTTGCACATGGCAGGGGCTCAGTGTTCTCTGATGCTTTGTGTGTTTGCCTGCCTTTAATTCTCTCCTCTTGTACTCACCATGACTTTTAGCGGCTGTATCTGCTGATATAAATCGATGCASCAATTGGTCTTTAGACTAACTATCACTTATTTTATTTGCAATAATAAAGGCATCAAATCTTTCACTAGAATTTTTTTTTGAGTTATCAGAAAACTGAACTCTTGCTACCCCAGAAATTTGAGCCTAGGGAGTTCAGTGGTTAGTATATGACTACTCTAGGGGAACAAAAGGTACCTTTCCAATTAAAGTTAATAGAGGGATAACTTCAGACACACAAAAGGGAAAAAAAAGACACCTATAAGTCATGGTGAGTTCAAAAGGAAAGAATTAAGGTAGGCACACAAAGCATCATGGGAAGTGCTATTCAAGCTACCATGTCAAAAAGGCTGATTAACAGCAGTTCCAAGTCTACCTGATCACCAGGGAGTCTTACTGATAAAAATTATTTCCCCTCCAGAGAGAAGAATCTCCCTGAACTGAACAAATGTGTCACTTTTGAATAAGGATTCATGAAAAGGCAGAGAAGGAGAAGAAAAAAGAATAAAGGTATGCATTCACCAAAGGAGCTGAAATTTGTAGCTCGTGCCTTGTTTATCAGTCCTTAAGTTCTGAATGAAACTGCAAGTCATACGTCAGCGAGCTGGACTTAGATCATTAGCTTTACGTTTCTTTTTTTCTTTAAAAGTGGCTGTTTGCAGATAAAATGTGCTGGTATTTGTCRTAATTGCAATCAGGAAAATATAGTGGCTTTGACTGTTTGATGTGTTCCGTAGACCTTACAGGCTGTAAGGCTTTTCAGAGGAGTCCTTTAAAGATGTTGATTAAATTCCAGAATTTGGAAATTTGGTGGTCTGTGATGTCTGTATGGTTAGATTAGATCAGTGCAGTGGTAAACTCTATTTGCAAGAAACTAATTGCTTTTTTTTTTCTCTATTGTGTTCGYGTTGTTTTCAATACTTCAAAGTGTACAAGGGAAGAGAGGCATGGAAAGAATATGCTATTGTGGTGTCCTTTTTTGTGAGCATGTTATATGACTGCCACGATTTCTTTCATTTGGCTTTAATCTGTGGTTTGGCCTTTTATAATAGTTGCTCTTTCAAAGACACTCATGTTTTGCAGGAAAATCCCTTTGAGTTGTCTTGTTCCACTTGAATAGTTCACTGTGTCTTCTAGACGCCCTTGGTTTGGTCCTCTGTGGTGACATGGGACATSTTACAGAAAAGGATTGCTGTAGGGGTGACATAATCCAGTATGAAAATGTGGCTTGTGTGATGTGTTGGGCAGGGTGGTGTTTGGAAGAATTGTGGTGGAATATGTGCTTGAGCTGCTGTCTTGGGACTACCACCGCAGGTGTACTGCGGGGTGATCCAGTGCTTTGACATTAACTAATGAAATGTGGGACTTGTTTTGCCGTGAATGTAGCAGGTTTTGTTGGGTTGCTGTAGGCAGCCTGAGATGCGGCCTGGATGGAAGCAAGGAGAGCAGTGGGTCCTTTGGCTACATCTTGGACAGTGGAGGATGAGCCAGTCCAGGCTGTGCTCTCTGGGCAGAAATGGGGTGACTTGGAATTTCAGCCAATTGTGGGGAGCTTCACACAGTGCCAGAGTGAAATCCCTGATAATCCCATTAAAAAAAAAAAGGGAGGCAACAGAGAATTTAAGGTAGCATATGATGTCCTGCAGGTTAGCAGTAGTATCTCTGGTAAGGCAAAACAAAGATTTCATGATTTCACCTCTGTTGCCACATCTTCTGCCATTGAAAAAGGGTAGTGACATTACACATCACGTTTGTGATGCTTAAATTAAGTTCTAAAATGCAAGTTCAGAAACTCTGTTAATTTTTTTTTAAATGAGTTGTTACTCATTTAAACACAAGGAATTGTGTTGCAGCTATTACTAGGTTCAAATATGAGTGGTCTTTTGTTAGCTCATTTCCTGCCTCTGGTGTTCTTAACGCCTTGGGGAATTGTACACTATGGACGTTTTCACTCGGTCTTTCAGCTTCTTTTATTCATAATGACATTGTAAAAATGCAGAAAAATTACTCAAAGAGCACTCTTAAAAGTATGAACAAATTTCTCCTCAAAATGTGTGTTTATATATACAGAAATATGTGCACCTGTGTAAAAGATTAAATTTAATAACTTAGACTTGTAGATTATATTGTGCTTTATATGGAAGATTTTATTAAGCCTAAGGAGAAAATATAATATTAAAATATATAAAGCGTAATCTTCAGATATATATTATACAGAGTTGTCTCAAATATGTGTTGACTTAAGGTGTCTCTATGCTTACTCTCCCATCTACATAAGCGAGTTTAACATGATAATTTTTCTTCTTCTGTTACTATTTTTTTTTCTTATTTGCTTGTGGAATGGTAAAGCAAGTTATAAATGTTGTGGTTTAAGTTCACTGTGCCAGTTAACTTGAAAGAGAAAGGGAAGCAACATCATTTCTGTTTGCAAGTTTCTGCTCTCCTTATAAATGTCTCTTTAAACTGAGTTCACTTCTGTTTTGAGGAGAGAGGAAAACCTCTTTCCAGCAAATGCCACTGTTGCAGACTCAACCATGGGAAGTGTTGGGGGGAAATCTCTGAGCTCTCCTATGTTCAGCTGCAAGGCTGGGTCCCATAACAACCAAGGGACTCTTTGGTTATTCTTCTGTTTTTTTAATTTCATTTTAGGAAGCATTGAAGGCCTCTGGTGCAGTTGGGTTTTGTTCAAAAGCTTCTCTGTCATTGCTACAATAAGGAGTTTGAAACAAAATCTCCCTCCCAAAATATATTTGTATGTTAAAAGAAAATGGCAAGCACAGTTAGTAAATCAGAATTTCATGCTGAGAGCATACGTCAAATATAATTGGTCTGTGAATGGTTTAACATCAGTAACTTCAGCACAGCCTAATACATTTGACATCCAATTTGCAAGGTATTATGGGAATAATTTCTGATGAAATAAAGATTTATTTTTTAATTTTTTGTTACAACAGGAAGAGGTAAAGAAGTTTGAAGAAATGAGGCCTTCCTTCTTGAAAAGGCAAGAAGAGATTTCATTAATGCTTTTTTTTCAGAATTTTCATTGATTTATTCATTTCTTCTGTCCCCRCTAAAAATTTCTTCCTAAAGTTTAAAGTTTCTCAAGTTGAGACTTGTGCGGCTTTGTTTTGTTTTCTCCTGGTTATAAATACAGATCTCCTTCCACTTCCTTCTTAGAATGTTTAATTTCCATCTATTTCTCTTGATCCTTGAAATTAAAGATGATTCAGTTCATGTGTTGCTTTAACGACACGAGTTTTCCAGTTCCTGGCCCCTCTGATGTCGTGCTGCCCTTTTTCAACATCTTTCATAACAAATTTGGTTTTGTGACAGGTAGYGATTGCCCCATCCAAGTCAGACTTGTTACCTGCACCTCTTCTGTGATGCCTTTGAGTAAAATTGCTCTTGGTTTCCAGTTAACAGTGGTGAGTTGCAGTGATGAGTTACATTGACTATTTGCTCTACTTTCTCCCAGCTTCAGTTTGCTCAACCTTCTCCACTCTTTGGAGCAGATGTGACTTTCTTACAGATGAGAATTTCTTATTTGAGGTGAATTTAGGGCAGCTGGTACTCRGAATAAGTACTAATAGTGGTTTCATCATGTCCAGGATACTTGATCTTGGGGGTCTAATCCTGTAAYCAAGGCCATGCACTCCATGCCACAAGGCTGGGGGAGTCGCCAGCAGTGTGAAGGGGGTTTAGGGTTGAGCATGGAAAAAGCATGATGAAAAAATGATGTTGCAAACTATAAATGGGATCAAATTAATGAGTATAGGAGATAACATCATGTGCTTTGTGGACTATTACAAAACCCCAATGCTCTGAGCTGGGGGTTCAACAGCTGGAAACAACTGAGAAACGCCCAGGAGCTGGTCATGGGCTGACTCTAACCTATGAAGGTATAAAGAGGCAAATGCTACCCTAAGATGTCTCAGGAAAGATATTTCCAGATAGGGAAATATTACCAGCCTCATAGAAGGATCTGATGAGATGTTGTTTAGGATAAAAATGTATGGTTTTGATTAACGATATTCAAAGAAGATGTCCTGAAACTGAAGCTCACAGACAAGACAACCAGGGAAATGGGGAGGTGGTTCTACAAGCAGCAGCTAGAGAAGGTTGGCTGTTTAACTTGGCAAGGCAAAAATAATAAATATATATATTATTTTTGTCTCCAGATACGTTATGGCAGAAAATAACTTCTTAGGCTGAAGGCTGATGTTGGCAAAGGAACAGATGGGTATGAGCTGGCTAGAAATACATCTAGGGTTGGGGTTAAGAAACAAATTGCTGAGTATTAAAGCATCAAGCTCTGAGCAGACACTTCATGCGAGTAGTAGAGACACAAAAATAACAGATGTTAAGATGAATATGACTTATAAAAGGGATAATATGTCGAAGTTACTGGTAGCCAAGGATTAGACTCAGTGAGCCAGGTGAGTATCCTAGGTTTATAATCTCTAGTTCAAACAGATTTATTTATTTTAATTTTCACACTTTTTATATTGCAGAGCTATGCCTTTAGTAGTAGGTTCATAGCTACTTTTTTATGTTACTTCAAACAACGATGGCAGTATTTTTTTCTTAACAGTAAGACTCCTATCCAATCAAATTTTAGACTGGGAATTTGGTTTACTTTGTTTCTTCAAAAACACTTCCTTGCCTTTCAGAGGAAAAAAAAATTATATATATATTCTTTTTCTCAAGATGTTTTGTAGAAAGGCTACTTGCTCTTAAGTCATTGTCAAAAAAAAAAAAAAAAAAAAAAAAAGAAATGAGCCATTTGCAGAATAAAATGTGTGTTTGTAACTGTGGTTACCTGCTGGAAGGAAACAAGGTTTTCTTCCTCCTCCTGATGAGCGGCTTGGAGCAGATGCTTTTTAAATCAGGTTAGCTCAGCTCAGCTAAATGGGCTTGACTGAAATTCTGCTTTTTTTAAATTGAGCCATAGGTGTTAAAACATTTCTGTAGAAACAACTTGTGCAAGTTAATTCAGGCAACTGAACTAGACTGGTTAAATAAAGGGTTTTTTTTTTCTTTGTTGTTTATTTTTGTTCCTTTGAACTTCATCCACCATCTGATAGGAGTTAAATAAAAACTAGAGAAAAAAATTCTACTTTGGGCAACACTTTATTATTAAGAAGGAAAGTCTAATGATTTACAGATTACTCTAGAGCAAACTTCAGGATTTGGCTATATAAGGCTTTAATTTGTCTCTTAAATAAAGGATTAATGGTGTTGACTTCACTCTTGGATTAACCTATTGCAAGTGAAAGGAGATGGGGATGCAAGACAATTTCCAGCTACTTCTATTAGAAGACCTAATGAAAGGCAAAAACCGTAGTAAGAGTCATAAAAAATATTCCCCTCCCCTGTGCTCCAAAAGGCTCAGTTTGGCATTTGATAGGATGCCAATGTGCTCTGAGTGTTGACTGCTCTTCTCCAAAGCCTTATAAAGAAACAAACCTAACGAAAGGCAGTGCAGACAATATTGCAGCAGCGAGTGGTTCTTGGATGTCAAACACCCTGCAGCCCGCAGCACTTTGATCTCCAGAACAAACCATAAAGAACAAATAGAGTAATTTTTCTTACGGGGTAACATTTAGCAGCGAGGTGGTTGAACTTCTGGAAAACAGGCATAACGGGCATGCCATTGCCATTTGTTAAATTGTTTGGACAAGGGCATATTTCCTTTAAAGAGGCTGTTTGCTATTCTTTCCCTTTTTGGTCCCTTGGGAAGGGGGGGGGGGAAAAAAAAAGTCAAGAGGAACCAATACAGAGCTGCACAGCTCAGATCAGCTCACCTTTCCCGTGAGCCAAAGTGGAAAAATATCACTTAAATGCTCCCTTTTTAATGTGGTGGGGGAGAAGGGAGTGTTATGGAGGGAATAAGAGAGGCGAGTGCATAGACATTTATGTGCATTTGTGAGTTTTGGCTCAGTCAGCTATTTCATTGTAGGCCTCTGTTTCCATGGAACCTGCCAAAGAAAATGTATGAAATATATTAATACACAATGTACACACGAGGGATGGCAGCAGTGGCTTAGAGACTATCAGAAACCCTTTAATGCTCTCCCTGWAACTAGAGCTGAGCGCATTGGCAAGCACTACCACGCTGGGTTAATACTTCCAGGCGCAAGGAAAGGTCCTACTTCTACATTTTGATACCTCTGCCCTTTCACATGTCCTTAGGGGTTTGGAATTGCAGAGGTTCCCTTCCATGTCAGTTTTTTTGCTTAGTGATTCATCTTGTGGTGTCTCATGTCTTAAGGAAGAGTTTTATGGCTTAAGATTTTCTTYAGTGGTTCACTGATATGAAATTAAGCTGAACTTGGTGAAACTTTGCCTCAGATACGTTGCTATAGAACAGATATATGCTTAACTGTGCTTTTAGGTACAGAGAGTGTTTGCTGGTGGTGAACAAGAGCACAGATGGCATGTGGGAGATTCCCAGGGAACATCCATCACTTGATATGACATTGGAACCTTCTCTGCCTGGTGCTGGGACCTTCATGTTCATCTTTCATGAAGCACAACTTATGTACAAGGGAATGTGTTTCTTGCAGGTACAAATCTGTAGGRCTACCCTGCTTTGCACCTTCATTAATAATGTGTAACTTTCTACTGCTAGCAGTGACATCTTTCGTTAACTTTGAGCCAACAAGTATTTCTCATTTCAATATAAGAAAATACTGTCACCACGTAGCCCAGAGCTCATGCTGTTGAGTGTTTCCTCGAAAAGGCATGAGGATTGAGTGAACGGTGCAGACTTCTGCCTCCCCTGCTCCTGGTTGTTTAGGCAATGTGGGGTGTGTTATTTGGGCAGCACAAGGTAGTTTGTCCTGCCACTAAGGAGCTAAGAGAGCCACCTCTGCTCTTCAAGAGGGGGGGAAAGCCTGTTCTGCCGCTACTGGAAAGCAATTTGCCCTCTATAAAACTGCAGTTGCAATGAWACTTATCCATCCCTCGATCAAAGTACTCCTCTTGGGAAAACCTCTGGGTAGGTGAATACCCTGCCACCGTGAAGAAGGAATTGTCATTTTGCGCCTTGGGCAGGAGGCTGTTGCTTGAGGGTTGCCCATATCTCTGTAGGACTYGTTGGCTGGCAGCCAAGGAGGGGTTGCTGCTCCCTTGGGCCCCAAACACCTCCACATCCCRGCGCAAAATGCAGAGACTGATGATGTCTGTGAAGGGCAGTGTGGGGACCACCCTGGACCCCCACGGCTCCCAACCACGGGCAGCATGAGGGCTGGACACCGAGTTACGTGGTGATGTCTCCCAGCGATGTGCGCTCCCCTGCAGCTCCCTGAGGTCTTTGCTGGCCCAAGGTTTCTAGTCCTCTCTGCAYAGAGGCTGTGGGTGACAGCTATGCAAAGGGTTGGGAGCATTTGTTACTAGGAACACCTTCCAAACATCATTGCTTTTAAATGTAATCTTAACTTTTAATGCTGCAGGCTTGTAATGTGTGTTCGAGGGACAATATTTCTGGCTGTGCTTTATTTTATTATTAACCATTTTTTAATCACTGAAATATTCTGAATGTTAATGTAGGTGGTTTCTTCGTCTGTCTGTACAAGCTTACGCTGTGTTTGCATTACTGAAGACCGATTTGTCCTTCTTGTGAGCAAAATCAGTCGTGTGTCAACCTAACAGTCATAACTAGATCAGTACCAGACTGAAGTATTTTCCTCCTGGGTGGATTTTCTACAGAATTTGAGATTCACTTCTGGGAATGAACGCATCTTTTCCATATATAGCCTGGATACAGAAAAGTTGTCTTGGCCAGAATTTTTCAGAATTTGAGCTCTTCGGTCTTTTGCTTTATGGAAAGTCTTCATCCTAGCAGAGGATCTTGGTGGCAAGATATAAGCCTTATTCGATCGTGTAGGCCTCAAGGAAATGAAGTACAATAATGTTGATTTTCCTGTTTTTTTCAATGTCTTTTCTGCTCTCCTAAGAAAGACTGTAATAACCATTAGACTTCAGCATCACCAGAGTGCAAACTTCTCAGAAGCATCTAAGTGTAGGTGTTTTTATTTTTCCCCATACATTTGATACTTTGCAGCTTTTCTGGTTGGCAGAATGTGCCTGAAGTATTCAAACTTCCGAAAGAACTCAACAATTTGGTAACCTTATTTTTGACTAGAAATACTGGACTAGAATCAAGGGGATGCCAAGTCCTGGCTTCATGCAGAATTTCCAGTGAATTCTGGATGTGCAGTTTGCTAGACTAGGGATTAATGCTCTGCAGGTCCATTTGGATGTGTCAGTTGGTAGTTGTATCGCTTCCTCCAATGTATTGAAGTTATTAAGGCTCTTGTTTAGCTGTTTGCCTTACACCATAATAAAATGGCAGGTAATACTGTTTATTCCTGTGCTACCTTTTGTCTTAAGAATGAAAGTGCATGAAATGCATATCCCATGTAAGCTCTGTTTACAAATGATTTTTTTTTTTTTTTTGAAAACCCTACTTGAGTACTTACCATACAGCATCACACAGGATGGTTGAGGTTGGAAGGGGCCTCTAGAGATCATCTAGTCCAAGCCCCTGCTCCAGCAGGGACACCCAGAGCACGGGGCACAGGGTGGCATCCAGGTGGGTCTGAACATCTCCAAATCACTCTTTACCCTCACCCTACTCCCACTCAGGAGATATTCAGGGGAATACATGGCAAGGTCACTTACAGTTTGACTTGGTGGGCCTTCTACATGTCAAAATACTGCTTAAGAAAAATGTTACAAATATCTAAAGCAACTCCAGCATAACTAAAACAAGAAAAATCAAACAGCAGTGCTTTGGAGTGGGCCTATGTGCTTTGTTTCCTTTCTGAGATAGGCTGATGGAATGAGAAAGTTTGAATCAAGAAAAATACACTGAAAAGCAGCGGGAGGAGAGCAAGAAGGAATAAAGAGGGAGGTGAAGGCACCAAGTTGGGGCCCTGTTCACAGGGAAAACCATGTTTAGACAGACCTTCAGAACAGACATCTGGATGGTAGTGACAGAAATGATCCTGAAACAAAGTAGGGACAGCAAGAGCTCTCAGGTACTGCATGCAAGGTCCTAAACAAGAAACCTACTTGCTGGTGAAAATGTCTGGGAGAAGATTAAGAAAATGATATATGATTTTAAATGAAGCATTAACAAAAAAAAATCCAGTCACCCATTTGCAGACAAGCTTGTAGAAACTATTTGRTGCTTGAATGGTGGCCTTTCTTGTAGGCAAACTGAGATAATTTAGTGCTTATGTCAGCTGAAAACAGTTACTGCCACAATTTCTCCAAGGGGAAAGACTTGGCACTGGTCTGTAGAGATTTAGGCTTAGGCCTGTATTGGTTAGACTTTGGGTCAAGTCTCTAGCATGTCCTGCTATGCTCCCAATAACATGTGGATTGCACTTCTGTTTCACTTTTTTTTTCTGTCTTACCTCTATTAAGTCCCTAGGTACTGGGTGATTTTTGCTCTGCCTGTGAATGGCCACCACAGGGCTTCTACTGTATTACAGAGGGTCAGAATATTGGTCTCAGAGTAGCAATAACTACCTTGAAAAGCCCTGTTAAAAAATAAATAAATACAATTACGAGCTCTTGAGTTGTAATGGCTGAGTTTTGTAGGCATGCTCCACGGAAGCACCGTATTTACAGTCCAGGGAGAGAGTCACCTCCTCTCTTGCTGACATATTAAGTAGGAAGCAGAGCCTTCCCTCGGAAAGTTGCGGCGCTTTCCCGCCTCCCTTGACATGGGCCCTGCTCCGTGTCCCTGCCCTCTRAGAGGTGACGGGCCCAATCCTGGTGTGGGCGGCCATTGGGAATGGCTGAGAGGGCCGCGCGCCTCTTTTGTCCCCGGAGAGGCTGGAGCGTCGTGACTGGCCTTTGGGAATGGGCCGCATGGGAGAAGAACCACACAGGGCCCCGGCAAAGTGTCGCGCTGGGCACCAGCGCGAGCTGCCGTGTCAGGGAGGGAAGCAGGAACAAAGCGCGAGGCGTCCTAATAAAGGGAGCAGGGTGGTGGAGATTCATTTTTCTTAGAAAGAATCGTAAGAAGCTCTTTTTCCTGTTCTTTTTTTATTTCTGTCTGCATTATCAACTTCCTGCCTGCTGTGCCTGTCTCTCACTCTCTATTACTTTCAATATGTATCGCAACTTCTGTTTCTGCCTTTGTTCGCGTTAGCAGGATGCCAGGGAAAGGTCCCCTTTCCTTTCCGAAACGAAGGAAAGGGGACCTTTTGCTGGCCCAAATATCAAATAATTTCTCACCTTGTGAATRGTGGAGGAGGCAATCCAAATCCCATAGCTCCGAGTCCTCCTGTCTTCTCTCTTGGATGGCACTTGGAAGCAGSGGTAGGGTGGTGGTGACTTTTCTGCAGTGGGTAGTGTGATAGATGCACATGAATCCATGGAGTGAGCTGAATCCCGTGTGATTTCTTTTGTTCCCAAAGGGATTCCTGCAAAGGAAAGAATTAGGATGTTTTCTGTCAGCTCTGTGTTAAGGGAGTGGTTTGCTATCAAATTTATTTCCTACTGGCACCTCAGGAACTGTTCCCTTCAGATTTGCATTGTAGGCAGATTTGTAAAGGAAGCTTTACTGAAGGGGCTTTTCCGGGGATGAATAAAAGCCACTCACGGGTTAGCCAGGCCTAGCTGCACCGGGCTTGCGCTGGCAGTAAAAGCCCCTGTATAAGCTGCTGTGGGCTCCTGCTTTCTGCACAGATGCTTCCTGACTTTAGCAGCAAACTGCAGCAGCCTGAAGTCTCATCCCTCCTTCTGCAGGGAAAACTTCCCAGCTTCTTTCAGAAGCGCCACTTTCTTATAATCTGAAACTTGAAAATCCTTTCGGGAGGGGATAGGGAGCATGAGCCCTCACATCTCCTTTCCCCCAAGACCTTTAGCCATGGCCRGATTATAGAGCAAACCTCTGTGATAAGATGGTGTAAAGATACACGGAGTGAGGGAATTTCTGCAAGTGAGCAAAGTCAGGCCTTTTATATTGACTGAAACATGTTTGCGAAGCTCAGCTGGATTGTAAATCGCCAGTTTGCTTTCCTCAAAAATATTAGCTTAATTTAACTGCTGATCGGTGGGAATACTGGCTGTATTTCATCACCAGACCAAAACAGAGCAGCAGCCTGGACAGACCTACTACACCTGTACAGTTAGAAAATACAAACTGCTGGAAGGAAGCAGGCCTTGACACCGGTGCCAATGCTTGTGCCTATGCAGAAGGGCYATGCACCCGCTGCCCTGCCCTCCCTTGCCTAAGGGGGGCTATGTGGATACATGCTGCTGTTCCATGGCTGCCTCTCTTTCCACTTTCCTATGGAAAGAAAAGGGAAGTGAGGCTGAGGGGAGGCCTCACAGCCGTCTTTTTGTCTATCTCTTGCCAAAGGCCCCTGATTGATCCTAATTTTATTTATCTGTCAGGAGACTGGTTCATGTAAATACGTGTTAGGTTCTTAGGTGTCACCTCCTCCGCTCCTTCCTYCTTCTATGGCTCGTGCACTTTTTCTTCCTTTTTTGGAGCCTGGCGTGTTTTGCTGTGGCTTGAAAGATGCGAGAAACCCTYTTGCAGAGATGGAAGGGGCATGTAGTGTGGGGCAGAGCGACAGACACCAAACAGATCCACATCGATAGCTGACTCTAAACAAACTGCAGTCAACCTTCTCAACCAAAAAATGGAGAAAGGGAACTAAGGCAGGTGCATGTGAGAAAGCCCATCACATAATACAGTGTATCCTGCAGTGACACAGGCCGGGGCCAGGCTGGTTGGGAGCAGCTGTACCGAAAAGGGCCTGGTGGGCAGCCAGCTGCATGTGGGCCACCAGTGTGTCCTGGTAGTGCTGAAGGCCGTGGTCRCCCTAGGCTGCGTTGGCAAGGGTCAGGGGAAGGGGAAGGGGTTTTTCCTCAGGGATGGTCAGAGGCTGGAGCCCTATGAGGAGCAGCTGAGGGACTGGGTCTTGTTCATCATGGGGACACTTGTTGAGGAGACATGACAAGGATCTTTGTTAAGATGCATGGTGGGAGGATGAAGGACCATGGGTATAAGCTGGAACGTAAGTGGATGAAGCTGGGTATAAGGGGAAGTTTGGGTTTGTTTGTTTCACCCCRGGGCCAGTCCTGCCTTGGAGCAGGATGTCCAGGCAGGTTTCCAGACTCATCTGGATGGTGACCTGGTCTGGGCTGGAAGTGCTGTCATGGCACATTAGAAGTACTGCTTGTGTAGGTATACAAACCTACACAGGAAGTAAAGTGTAAATTGCAGCTTAAATATGTGTATATTTAGCCTGAGAACTAAATTAGGAAGCCATGACCAGTGAAGCATTAGTATAATATCCAGTGGCCTCGTGGGACATGTGTGTGACTATAGGAAAACCTCTGTGTTTTTGCAGTATTAAAGGACAGAAGATGCAAATGATCCCTCCCACAGCGACCTTCCACTTGCCTGGAAGTTGGCCCAGCCTTCTGCTTGAAGCAGTTAGGGAAAACAGACTTGAAGGCCCAGTTCTGACACCAACCAAAGTTTTCAGTATTGCAGCCTGATGTGTAAAATCAAATAAAGTAAGCTTAGAAGCAGCGTAAAACAAAAAAATCAGATTTGGATATCAGTTAGACATGCCAGTGTCAGAAAAACTTACTAGGCAGGAGTTTAATTCTACTTAATGCTAAGATGGATTATTTCCAAAAGACTCAGCTGTATTTGAATTATCAATATCCTCCATTCAGGGATGTTGCATTCAGGATTCGGAACTCTAGGGTCTTTCAGCCTTTGTGTGCTCCAACTTCCTGCTCTTCAAAGTTGTTTTCATTGTAGCAGTTGCTGGGTAAAGGTTGAGCATGGGGTAGACTCAAGGCTCTTCTGTTGCGGCGTACCTTCAACCTTGGAATTACAGACCGTAAACCATCACGGGAGGCTTTCAGATCTTCACTGCAGCAGCATTAAGCCCTGCCCTATTGCCGAGGGCCACAAAACCAATGTTACAGAGCACCCCCCGAATTCAGCGCTCGCTGTTAGTATCACCATACAGCAAACGGATGCTGAAGCGTTGCACAAGCTTAAGGAAACTAGAATCGGAGGCCAAAAATGAATTCTTGCAAGGGAGAACTGAACGCTACAGCCATGTGATAGATAGAGGAGGCTGGTATAAATCACAGGATAAAATAACCGCTGTAAAGAATGCTCCTTGTCCTACAAATGTTGTGCAGTTCTGCTCCCTCCTAGGATTTATAAACTATTTC